CATTAACGCATGGCATATTAATACGATTTATAATAGAAACAATACGAGACATTCTTTTACATTAAAATAAATTCACTTATAAGTTTAAAAACTGGACTCCGAATGTGCGAAAATCAGTGCCTCAAACCTAACATACCAAGTGGCTTATGCTATATCTCATTCATGTAATGGAGGGCGATAACAAACAAAGATATCCTGATAGTACTTCCTTGTCTTCATTTTTAGATAACATATTTCATTTGTCTGCAATAGTTCCGTATGATTCAGAAATGTCAGTGTCACAATAGCGAATATCACCAACACAGGTGTAAAAATCACGAATATCTCGTTAAGTGTGGACACACACACACAAACTGTGATCTAGGAACTTCCATGCTTAACTGTTACAGTATCAGCCCCAAAACGTAGTCCAATACACAACGCATTTACGGCTATGAACTTCTGAAGCCAAGAAACAAGCATCGCTCTCGGAATCCTGATTACTCACTGAACCTGCGTGCCAAGTGAACGGAACATTGCCATAAGAAACACGCAGGAAATTGCTTCCCAGGGCTTTGAATAATGGAAGATAAAGGTTCTGTGAGAAGGAACGTCCCTGCTTTGTCGTGTGGGATGCACGGACCTTGGTCAGAAGACGACAGAGGGCCGATGACTCAGCTACAGAACGAGTCTACCTGCGTGAGATCAGTTGATTCTTATCACGCCTACAGCTTTAATCAGTCTGCGAACGCATTGGTACAGACATTTTGGGTGTTGAGAATGAGGTCACACTCCCAGGAGAAATTTTGACCAAACATAGATCGCTAGCAGGGTACCAGAGAACATTAGTCATTTTTACACTTCATCTAATATTCTTTGAGTGTTTAAATCAAGATGAATGATGTGCTAGCATGCAAAACATTCAGGACCCATATAACGAACACAAAAAATCAGTCAGACAATCTCGCGGTAAATTACCAAGGCGTGCTGTGAGAGATATTCGAGGGTCTGCGTAACAAATTTCTCTTTGTCGTAGATATAAACTTGTGAGCATATCAAGTGAGTTCAACTGACTCGAGTGGTGATCTAATGAATGTGCCAAACCTACAGTAGGAAATTTCATGACCAACTGAAAACAACAGTCAGTTCAAGGAATAGTTGGTGCGAGCTGTCGTTCACAAGAGCCCACCACAGAAGTGTATTCGGAGCTAGACGAATCTTAGACGATGACAGTTTTCTGGGATATTACTCCGTATATTCCAGTAGAAACTGACCGACGT